TTTTTGAATGTATACTTCCTGCATGGATGTACTCCAGCTACAAGCTGGAGGATAGCATTTAGTCTGATTAGTTATGTGTTAATAGGTTTAATTACTTAATTTCTTATACTGAATTATAAAAGAGAAGCCTTTTATTGAATATAATCCTGCATTCTGTATTTAATTTTTTTGGATATGTTGATGTTTTAAATGAAGAAGATTCTGCCCTAGAATATGCAGTTACTTTCAGCAACACCATGAAGAATGTAGGGTCATGAGGGCAGAATTTAGATCCAGCTTGCTGGGGAGTGTGATATGTCAACGTTTGTGTCCACAAGGAGACACAGAATTGTAAAACAGCGCTAAAGTTCTTTGTCCAGTGATTGTTCATCCTTTATGTGATTTCTGCTATGTGCAGAAATTAATTCTGAACTTGTGAGTTAAAGTGTGTGGTATAACTACTAGGAAGAACTGGACTAGCTTGTTTTGTCTCCAGAGAGATGTTTTGTACTACAATTGCTCATGCTTTGTCTGGCTGAGTTTGAAACACTGAAAGCCACAGACTCTTAAATTTTCCTATGGAAATGGATCAGCAGCATCCTGCAGCTTATTCCTGCAGAACTGGTAGATCCACCAGCCCCTTCAACAACACATGGCACAAAGTGGAGTGAGAGTGGAGGAAAAGATTTTTGTGATGCAGAGACTTGGAAAAATCTCTTTTAGACCTTATCAACAGCACAAGACAGAGCAACCTCAAGTCTGTTTTAACTTACTAAGTCTAAGGAGTCCCAGTAGCCAAAGATTTATTGTATTGGAAGGCCAGGCAGAATCTACCTGCCCCTCCAAAGTTGCTGTAGAGGAATCAGATGTCTCTTCCATTTGGCCTTCATCATCTTCTCTTTCATACTGAAATTTCACTACTTCTCACAGAGTTGAGATTGGAAGGCAGTTCTGGGGATCATCAACACCCCGCTCAAAGCAGGGTCAACTAGAACAAGTTGCTAAGGACATTTTCCAGTTGGTTTTTGCATATCTTCAAAAATGGAGGCTCTATCTGTAGTACATGTGAAACCTGTTCCTGTTTTTGACCACACTCACTGTGTGGTCAAAAAAAAAAAAAAAATTTATTGATAAGATCCCCCTGAGCCTTGTCTTTTTCCAGGCTGAAAGTTCTTTTTTTGACCCCCATTCCCTTGGGGGTAAAAAAAAAAAAAAAAAAATTTATTGATAAGATCCCCCTGAGCCTTGTCTTTTTCCAGGCTGAAAAGTCCCAGCTCTCACAATCTCTCCTTATGAAGAGATGTTTCAGTCCCTTAATCATCTCAGTGACCCTCTTGCTAATTCCTCCAGTAAGTCCATATCCATGTTGTACAGGGGAGCCCAGAACTGGACACAGTACTTAATACATGGCCTGAGTAGAAGATAAGGACCACTTCCCTTGGCCTGCTGGCAGCATTTGGCCTGATGCAACCTAGGAGACTGTTGTTGGCCGCCTTTGCCATGAGGGCCCATTGCTGGCTCATGTGCAACTTGGTGTCTGATAGGAATCCCCAGCTCCTTTTCTGCAAAGTTGCGTTCCCTCTGTCTACTGGTTCCTCACCATGTGAAGGACTTTTCATTTAGCTTTACTGAACTTCATGAGGTTCTTCTCTGGCCAGTTCTCCAGCAAGTCTAGGTCTTTCTGAGTACTGGGGCAACCACCTGGTGTGTCAGTCAGTCCTTTCAGTTTTGTATCATCTGAGAACTTACTGAGGGTGCATTCTTGCCCCATTGTCAAGGTCATTAATGAAGATATTATGCACTACTGCTTCCAATATTGACCCCTGGGGCATGCTTCTGGTCACTGACTTGCAGCTGGACTTTATGCCACTGGTCACAACCCTCTGGACCCAGCCCTATAACCAGTTTTCAATCCACCTCACTGTACTTACCCAGCTTCATACTTCATCACCTTATCTGTGAGGATATTGCAGGAGACTGTGTCAAAAGCCTTACTAAAGTCAAGCTAAATAACATCCACAGCTCCCCCCACATCTGTGGAGCAAGTTGCCTCATTGTAGAAGGCTACCCAGGTAGGTCAGGCATGTTTTCCCCTTTGTAAATCCATGCTGACTACTCCCCAGTCACCTTCTTGTCCTTCATGTACCTGGAAATGGTTTCTAGAATTAGTTGCTCCATCAGCTTCCCAGAGGCTGATGTCAAGCTGACTGCTCTGTAGTTGCCTGAATCCTCCTTCTTGAAGACAGCAGTCACATTTCCAGTCTTCAGGGACCTCTCCTGATCACCATGACTTTTCAAAGGTTATTGAGAGTGGCCTCGCAATGACATCAGCCAGATCCCGCTGCACTTGTGGTGTGTCCCATCAGGGCCTGTTGACTTGTGTAAGTCCGTTTCATTTAAATGCTTCCTAATGTGACCCTCCTTGACCAAGGATAAGTCTGCCTTGCACTGGACTTTCTCATAGTTTTCGTAGACCTCAGATTGCTGAAGGCAAAGGCTGAGACAAAGAAGACACTGAGTCACAGAGTGTATCACCCTTTTCTATGTCTGTGAGACCAGTTCCACTGCATATTCTGTGGTAGGCCTGCATTTTCCCCTAGTTTTTGTCTTGCTGATGTACCTGTAGAAACCTTTTTTGTTTTCGTTCACATCCCTCATCAGATTCAAATCCAGGTGGGCTTTGGCTTTACTAACCCCATCCCTGCAAGTTAGGGGATTCCTCCTGGGCCATCCAACCCTGCTTCAACCTCCTGTACACTTCCTTTTATGTGTGAGTTTAGTCAGGAGCTCATTGCTCATCCATGCTGGCACACTGCCACCTTTGCTTTGTATCCTACTCATTTGGATGGGCCATTCTTGAGTTCAGAGCAGCTGAAAATCAACCAGCTATTCTGAACCACTCTTCTCTCCAGGACCATCTGCCATGGGATTCTTGAAAGCAGATTCCTGAGCAGGGCAAAGTCTGTTTTCCTCTAGTCCACAGTTGTGAGTCTGCTTTTCATTTTTTTCCCCTTCTTTTCAGCATCCTGAACTACACCATCTCATAGCTACTGCAGCCAAGCCTATCCCCAATCTTTACATCACTCGCCAGTTCTTGTCCATGTCCTTAAAGTAAATGGAATAAAAAAGAAAAAGAAGGGAAAGAAAATGAAGAAAAGGGATGGAAAATACTTTTGAAATTAAATTTATATGATCCTGGTAGTCCATAAAGTGAAAATCATTATGCAAATGTTCATAGAATTATGTTTCCAGATTTTGATTAATTCTCATAAGTGATTCTGTAAAGTCCTCTTCTGTTCTGAAGGTACTGTAATTTCTCTTTTCCATCTGAAGCCAAGTCCCAACCTATCTGTAAAGCAGGTGTGAACAACTTCTTTCTACACAGACCAAAGAGTTGGGTGGAAAGACTGATACTATTGGACAGATCAGAGAAATTGTTCTTGTAGGAAAAGAACTGGCAGTACAAGCCCATGATTTTCATAATGGATTCTACAGATTCAACTTGTCAATGTATTCTGTTGCTCAGTGAATCTGACATTACAATTAGCTCAGAGTTTGGTGTGACCATGGCAGGCACAGGTTTTGTCACTATAGCTCTGAAAGGGTGAAGCTTTGTGTGGAGTAAAAGAATGCAATTTTCCTATGTGGGTCACCACAGTACTTTTTTCTTATCTCTCAGTTGCCCTGTTTCAGTTTTATGGTAATGATCACTTTGTCATCCTTCAGAGTCACATATAGAGACCAGGACAGATCCACCACCAATTCTGCTATTATATTTCAGCTTCCACCTGAGGAATTAAGGTAATACCATGTGTCATGCGCCCACCCCCCGCCCTCCCCCCCACCCCGCTTTTTCTGTCAAAATACTCCAAGGTCGTTTGTTTTTTAAATCAGTATGTCCTTGATATATACATCAAATGCATCTGTATTGCTTTTATTGGTGGTGCTTGCAGTGAGAGAAAGAATTGCATTCTCCAAATTATCCCGCTAGTATTACCCATGTCTATCTGTTTGCTACATAAGGAAATTTAATTCCTCACTGTTGTCATCTTGGTCAAGCCGAAGTTGCTTACCTATATTAGTTGATGTGGAGAATGTTAGATCACTTCCCTGGGAAAGCAAGATCACCTTTCTAACACTGACCTACCTAGCAAGTGTCATAGCAGCAGTTTAATCGCTAAAGGTAGAGCTCTTCATGAGCTGTGGTCATTGCTTAAGTGTTTTTGTGTTCCAGAATGCTGATTTAGGACATTATTCCTTCTGTGTATTACTCTTCTGATAATAATATGGTCTGTCATTAGAAATGTTTCAAAACTTCTGGCAGGAAAGCTCTATTGACCTTCAGGGAAAATCAGATCCAGACCTTGACTTTGTAGCTAACGGGACTTCTAAATTCCAAGTAAAGCAAAGTGAAAAAAAGCAACACTTAAAAGCATGTAACGGGAATAAAAATGAGCATATCTATTTGAATATGAAACACAGCACTTCTTCCCAGAAAGAGATGATGAGAAGACAAAGAACATGTGAGAACAAGAACAAAGGTAAAAATCTATTAATAATGGGAAAGATGTATTCATTACTGAATAAACCGTGAACAGATTTCATGTTTGAATTAGACATTTGTGTTTGTATGCTAAAAATTTTTCTTTTCTATCCTGCTGTTTGAAGTTGGGAAGGATGAAGTTCAAGGTGGGTTAATGTTGGAGACGTGCAGCTCCAAGACAGTAATGTGTGATCTAATAATATCTGTTGATGCTGTATCAAAACAGTCATTGTATATCACATATCTTCAAACAAGTAAATTTGGTATTAAACATTAAATATCAATTATCTAATGGAATATGAATATGAACATCAATATGGAATATCAAAAAGAACATTGTCAGACAGTACTGAACTCTGACATGAGTGCAAGCTGAGGTAAACAAACACTGCAGTTTGATATAAGTAGTGTTTTTAGAACTGATCCCATTGAGAAAGCCTCACCTTTCTTGCATTGATGTTCCTTTTCTTCTTGTTAGGTTCTACTGTTTCATGTACTACCTGCCGGATTATTGCAAGCTCTTCTTGGCATTGCTGGGAACAACAGTGGGTTTTATTGTCAAGGGTAAATAAATCTCTCATTGAAAATACTTGAATTTAGAATTGTGGCAAGGAGCAACCCTGAGCTCTTGAAGACTGCTCAGGGGTCCAAGAAGAGCGTTCCTTTTCTTCTTGTTAGGTTCTACTGTTTCATGTACTACCTGCCGGATTATTGCAAGCTCTTCTTGGCATTGCTGGGAACAACAGTGGGTTTTATTGTCAAGGGTAAATAAATCTCTCATTGAAAATACTTGAATTTAGAATTGTGGCAAGGAGCAACCCTGAGCTCTTGAAGACTGCTCAGGGGTCCAAGAAGAGCTTCCTTTTTTCTGAGATTTTTAAATGTTAATTTTGGTCTAGTTAGACGTGTTTGAACAAGAGAGTAAGGAGTAGAGGGTGTCAAAAATGCCTTTGAGTGGGGAGACTGGGTAGACCTCACTGTATAGTAAGCACACTGTGTTGGGTGCTCAGCCACTCAGGAACTGAGCTGAATACAGCTCTAGGCTGGAGGACATAATCTGAATGCCTGTTTCTTTTCTGTGGATTTGGAGATGAGTGCTGTACAGTGAGTGAACCTGAGGTGTTCGGTGGCCATCCATGGGCTAGTAGCACCAGCTGTTAGGAAGGAAAAGGAGGGTGGTTCAAACTGCAAGGCTTCCAAACTAGCAGCTGTTATAAAATGATTCCTGTTCCTAGGAAGTTTAAGACTTTTGATCAGCTTGCTGTGAAATGCTGTGAAACTGAGCCTCAGGCAAGTATACCAGTCAGAAATTCCATTCATACAGAGCAGCAGTCCTTCAGAAATGTGCTACAGGATGTGCCCTAGCAACAGCCAGCACTAGTGGTGGAGGCTGTATGGAAATGGGTGACCTGCACAAACCTGTCAGGTGCCAGGGTTTTGCCTATCCCATTGGACAGAAGGAAATATAGGACAAAGATGAACTTCATATGGAGAAGACAGGAAAAAAAAAATAGAGACAGAAAAACAAAAGGCAACTGGGAAGGAAAAGGAAGGTCCTAAGAGACCTCTACATGGTCTCTCACCTATTCCCAGTCTGGAAAATTGAATCCCTTTACAGAGTCCTTCACAGGCGCTGATGCAGGTAATCACATCGTCTTTGCAAGTCTCAGAGGAGCTCCAAGGATGGCATTACTCTAACTCTGGAGCATCATTTTCTGGAGCAGGTGTATTTGTGAAATCTGTTTGTAATGACTATGAGTGGGAAGAGAGATGTATGATTGTTTTGAAGGCTGTCTGTGTCCAACCTGCCCTGAGCAGTGGGTGGCCTACAGAGGGACCTGCTACTCCTTCTCCAAGGAGAAGAAGGACTGGTGTTCTAGCCAGGAATCCTGCAAGGCACAAGGAGCTCATCTCCTGGTGATCAGCGATACCAGTGAAATGGTGGGTGGCTTTGCAGTTGCAAGGGCAGAGGGCTTTTGCCATGCAGGACAACAGTATTACTGGGGAAGGCACTGTGCTGCCAGGCTCTTCCCTCTGCAAGGAAAGGAGAGAGTAAAGGGTCTCCAGTGCACTGGGACTCACACACCACCTTTCTGCTTTCCCTTGGCAAGAGGGACTCACTTCTCTCTGACCACCTCTGCTGAGTTTGTTATGAGCTCACCCCTCAGACCCCACAGTCGGGGGACTGCCTGGCACTCTGAAATGTTGTGGTTTAACTC